CTTTAGATCATTTTTGAGTTCTCCCATCCTCTTCCAGGTGGCGAAGGCGGCTCATGAAACATAACTGATTTAAGATATGACTGGAAAGAGACGTAATAGACTGAACTATCTTCTCTCACTATCAAATGCAATGAGATAAAGTAACAATAAAATAATTACAGATGCGAAAAATTAATTCACCAGATAAATCTGTGGATATTATTCTCTGATTATGATTGATACTGTTGATAACGCTGCTAATAGAAATGTCAATTACAGGGCAGAAATCCGGAGAATTTCTGTGATCCAATTGCAGAATGTGAAAATGACAGTCAATGTGCTGCACATTCACACTGTATCCAAACACAAGCACTTGACACATTTGGTATATCCTCTATTGTGTCGTTCGTTCACAATTAATCATTATCATTTGCCGAATGCGTGAGCATATATTGCCTCGAATATTTTCAGTTTAACTAAAAGCACCAAAGATAAATGTCTTGAACAATACAAAAACAATATAAAAATTTAGCTTCATGCCCACAGATTTACAACAAACTGTGTGCATAAAACAAAATTCTATTGTAGTTATTTATGAATGATACAGGAGCCGCGTCGTATAAGTGCGTCTGTGATAATGGCTTCCGAAGAGTGGGTAGTGCATGTGAGCCGATCAACGAATGCGAAGAGAACTTGGGTATTTGCGGTTACAATGCGATTTGTGTGGATATGCTCAATCTTTACAAATGCGTCTGTCGCGCTGGAACCATTAACGTTGGCACTGGTAAGTGTCATTCATACCGCTTTCACATTATATCATATATTTTAAAATTAATTTCGTTCACTACTACTGTAGAGTGTCAATTGTTTTTGAAGGACCAAACAACGTGACCTGCAAAACGCCAACATGCGCTGACTTGACGAATCCATGCCATCCAGATGCCGATTGTGTAGATCTTCCGAACTCTGAAGGTTTCGCTTGTAAATGTCACGAAGGCTTCCGTGGTGTTGGTACCGCTGAAATTGGTTGTGAACCGGTTAATTTTTAGGCATTTGTTAATTGTTAGGTTTGATTATCTCATTTGCCGAGTTCTATGACGAGTTGAAACATAACGAGTTGAAAAATTCATTCATATAATCTTCCATCTTGAAAAGGATAGATAGTTGGTGTGATCGAAGAATTGATCAATTCAACAAATGGCGTTCACCAGCCTTTATTATCGAATTGGATGATACTGTATGATTTGTGGCACTTGTTGAATCTTAATGCGAATATTCGTTATAGTAGCATATCCGTGTTTATCGCCCTGTTTCCGTGAGTGGTTTTCAGCTGATGGATCCTCGTTTGAGCAATTGGAAAGTTTAGGTTACTCCAGGCATTATTCATAGAAGGAACTAAGTTATTCAATGTCTGCGTTGATTCAGATAGATATATGTGAGACGTTCACTCCATGCAGTCAGTATGCAACATGTGTGAATAATCCAAGAGGTAGTTTCACTTGCACCTGTAAAGCTGGTTATACTGGCAATGGAACGATTTGTCATGGTCAGTTTACGTTCAATCTTATTAGCACTTAGTCCATGATGGTAATCGACATCGCTGGGCCTTCTCTTAGACCGTTGTCTTCATGCAGTCGGTTATGATTGCATGAAAAGCTATTGTCTGTGACACGCTCACTTCAGACTTGTTTACGACACGCTCACTTCAGACTTGTTTACGACACGCTCACTTCGAACTGTTT